CAGTGGTACCAAATGCACTGGAAATTTGACCAGTACTGCAGAAGTTGCACCCCCTTGGTGATTCCCAAACATAATTTCAGAGTAAATTGACCTTTTGGACCTCCATCAAGTACCCCATGTAAACAGAGTGTTTTGGGGCAACATTCAACTGCAGAATGATCGTGCTGTTGCATATGCTAGTGGCATCGTGTTGGATTACATCAGAGCAGGCAATGTGGACCAGCTACCATGGGCACAAAAGTCAGCCAATCAGGCCAATGCAGAGCAAATGTGGGACGACCTTGGTAATGAGATTCATGACTTGGACCTCAAACTTTAGACACGTTACGCATTGCTCAGATTGAGGAATGGGGCCTTATTTCACTTAAAAAGATCAGATGTTTCATTCCCGTTGGTCCCGTTGGGTTTATGCTCTGATTGCAGAACAAAGAGGACATAACGCATATTAGTGCTATCATTGGATAGAGGACACTTCAATCTTCATGACCAGATGCTTATTTTGTTTGATCTATTTTACATGACGATTTGGATTGGAGTGTTTTGAAAATGCAAAAATTCTTAGCGTACCCCTGTTTAAATAACAGTAATTTTCTAAACTTAATGTGAATATTTTTTCTCTTAAAAAATGTTGATTTGAAGATGAAATATGTGGTTATGATTTGCCGGGAAAATAAATGTCTGAACCGACGTGTTCTCTTACTCCAAAATTTGAATTCTGAGCTGCCAAATCTAATATTCAATATTTATGAGCAACTGTGTATTATTCAGAGATGAAATGCAACAGATAATTTTTTTCAATGAAATAGCTTGAATACCAAGCGAGGCCGGGTGTGTTAGACATTGTTTCTTTAAATGCATTACTAGTAGATCATACTTTATGGTTATTTGGGCCCGTGTCCTTATAACTGATCATGCTCTTAGATGTTTCTTCTGCTTGCTGCTTTTTGTAATACACTTGCCTTTGCCCATTTGTAACGTCCTTTTACATATTTGATATTTTGATGTCATTATGACATTTTATCATTAATCCAAATTGAATTCCAAGAATCCCGTGTTATCAATCTAAGATTTTCATTTCTTCAGTTTCTTTCTTTTCTCTCTTTAATTTAAAGGATATAGAAACGCACTGAGCATTTTAGTAACGTACAACCGGAAATACTGAATGACGGCTCCAATCTTATTAAGTGCATTCTAAAACCTGTGTAGTTTTACTTGGCAAGCTGTGAACTCTTCTAATACATCCTCACCTAGCCATATGCCCATACTGTCCCCAGTATATTGTGAAAACTAACATTCAATCAAACATTTTCTGTCACAAAATACATGTATCTAGTTCTATTTCTTTTTATTTACATTGCAATTTGCAATATTTTGTGGATTTGAAATAAATGCAGCGTCCATTTGACAAGTTTTCGCTTTGAGGTGAACGTTAATAGTGAAATGATGAAATTATATGTAGATGAACTGAGGAACTCCCCGTAATGAAATTGTACGCCACGTAACTAAGAATTTTCTATTAGAACACCAAAGAACCATATTTCACTTTGGTTGTCCACGAGGTTAACACTCTATGTATTATATTATATAAAAAATTATATTTGTCTATTATTATGACAGAATTGGACATTTCAAATAAAATGCAAGTAATAAGACGTATGTTAAGGTTGATGCTAATGAAGTTGAAATAGTCAAAAATCATTTAGACTTCTTGATTAAACACACGACCAAACCAACAGAGAAACAAAAACATTTGCCTAAAATTTATTGGATACCTAAATTACGTAAAAACCCTTATAAATCTAGATTTATTGCTGGTTCTAGGGTTTGTTCTACTAAAAAGGTTTTTGGGCTATTGACTAGGTGTCTCCAAGCTGTTAAACATAATAGGGAGTCTTGCTGTAATGCCATTTTTAGAAATTCTGGGGTTAACCATATGTGGATCCTTAAAAATTCGAAGGACCTTTTATCTAAATTTGATCAACCAAATTATTCAAAAGTTAAATGTATTTCCACATTTCCCCATAACAAATTGAAAGAGGAAATATTTGGTATCATTAAAAACAATGAAAGGTAGTAGATTTAAATTTGTAAATTGTAGTTCAAATAGAGCTTTCTTTTCTTGTGATCAACATGAAAAGTATATTTCTTTTACTGCAATACAACTTTGTGAGCTTTTAGGCTTTTTGATTGATAACATTTATGTAAAGTTTGGAAATACTGTTTTACGTCAAAATATAGGAATACCAATGGGGACAGATTGTGCTCCTCTTTTGGCGCCTTATCTTTATCTTCTCATTAACATTGAACAAGACAAGAGTATATATTGTAAGTTGTATGATAAACGAGAGGATTTCAAGTTTGATATTGTGAATTTTCCCCATTTATATACAGAATATCACATCATTTTGAGTGATATCATTTTAATCGCCGAGTTGATATCAAATATCCGAACACGAGTGAGCGAAGCGAATGAGTGTTGCTATTTGATATCTACGAGGCGATAAAATGATATCACGAGAAATTATGTGATATTGGGTTTATCCCATGAATACAATCACCTAGTGTGATGTTCTGATCCAATTTCCAGGACATTGGCAGAAAATATAAACTAGAAATTAGAATATCAATTGAATATTTGAAACACTTTATTTTAACAATAAAAAGTATGCACTACTTTCTGTACATGATATAGTTCGTCATAAATACCTTTTTTTAATCGTTAGTTAGCAGCCTTCTAATCAAATTATATACACAATCGTAATTCAATACACCAATGAAACTTAAAGAGAATAAATTAACGGACCTATTTTCTCAAAAGAGAATAAATTATCTGACCTAATTTCCAACAATATTGTGGCGCGAAATGCAAATGTGATATCACACGGATATGCGTGAGATAAACGATATCACACGCATATGAGTTTGATAAACGATTTTCTGGAAAATATCACACGAATTTCAATAATATCAGAAATATCAATAGCTGTTATTGTACAGATAACACATTAATCGTGGGATAAACAGTAATATTCCATTAAACCCAGCATATGGGGTCTATGTATCCCAGCTTATTAGATATGGCAGGGCATGCTCTAAATATTTAGATTTTAAGTCAAGACACAATACTTAAATTATTAAACTATTAGGTCAAGGTTTTACTTGTATAAAGCTTAAAGTTTTACCACTTGAGATGCTGAAGGATGTAGGAATTGTTTAAGACATTGGCGCTGAACTCACAATATTTGCACTTGGCACCTTTTGAGGTGGATCCCGGCTATGGCATTAATGGTTGATAAATAGGTCCATCGAAACCAGCCATAGTTTTCTCCTGATGACCATTGTGAATTATTGAGTTTTATGGATTATGGCGACGGCTTTTGTGAATGGATGTTGACTCTTTGAAACGCCTATGGACTTGGAGACTGGATTTTATCTATCCCACATCATTTGAGACTGAATGCTCTATCTAGTACTTGTATCTACAACTATTTTTGAAGTTATGAGTATTGGCTATCAATTTCTAATTTTTTCTTCAACATGTATTGTAATGACTTCAGTATGAATGAAATGCCCCTTGGTCTTCTGGTCTTGGATATTGTGATATTGGTTCTTGAATGGTGAGGGAAAGGGGGTATTAGACATTGTTTCTTTTCACGTTAGATCATTGTTTTGGGTTATATGGGGTTTGTTTTTCTTGACTGGTATGCACTTCGAGTTTGCTTTTTCTTGCTAAGTTCCATTACAACTTTTGGTCCGTTCCCTTTGTAAGACCCAAATTCTTATATTATCCAGACACTTACTCAAAAAGACAACTTTTACATACATGTACAGTGCAGTTATTACACTGATATATATTTAGAAATAGTTCATATTTTCTCGTCAATTCCAGGTGTTCCTACTCCAATATTTTCTCGCCAATAAACGTCTTTGCAGACGTACATCACTCTACTATACCCAACCCCTAGAAATGCATAAGATACTCTGTTTGTCTAATTGTATTGTTTAGTATATTTTTAAAAGTACCTTATTAACACCCAACAGTCATCCGATAAACCATTCATAAGGAACAGACACATAAAAACAAATAACATAATCATTACTAATAAGCCGAAATGGGTTGTTCATAAATACCAAATTTAAGGTATAGTAGAGTGTACATGTCAGGTTCTCATATTTGGGTTGGCTAATTGAAGATACACACAGACAAATGTAGCACTAGTATATATATGGTACTGACTTACCAAGAATACTCATTATGATTCATCATTCTATTTTTATCCAAAGCTCGTTGAGACTATGGATCACACAATAAGGATAACCCGGAAATCTAAAAAAATTATCCTATTCTTCTTGAAGTGTGGTATCCGATTGTCGACGTTGCCAAACTTTTAGAGGTGGTATACTTTTGCCTAGCTACATGAAATAATTATTGTTTTTAGAATTAAGGATGCGGAAAATCATGCTTTATCCTACCATTGTGATTTTTTGTGAATTTAAATAAACCTAATCAATTATAAAATCATTCAGCATTTGAAGGTGATTCATACAACGTATAATATTCTTCTGCATCATTAACTCGAATACATCCGGCTCTGGGGAAGCAAATGTTACTGACAAGCTATGTCAATTCTAATGCTAATTCTAAAAAACGATTAAATTATGTATTTAAAAGCTGGATATAACTTTAAGATGGTTTATAATTTTTCACCGCTTTGCGTATTATATAGCGCTGTACACTCTCCTCCATAAGTTTGGCAACCTTAGCTCCCCCATTGAACTACGGTAAAATCGAAATTCATTAACAAAATAGAAGTTTAGTTTTTGGAATTGTAATCTAATCAGTAACATGTCATATTACTGTTTTGTTTGATGCATAGTGCATATACACGGGGATGAATTGGAAGATTTGTCCCTTAAATGTTTCATAAAAATACTAAGAAAACTTGAAAACTTGGATCGATCATATTTAAAATAGTAATAATAATTTATTTTATTTTCAGGGCTGGGATTAATATTTATCATGAACCGTTCAGGTGAGTGGCCAAAAAAATTATTAGTAATGCTGTTAGCTTTTGCATTCGTATTTGGCAAGCCTTATTCATTTTTGGGCAGTCTGACATCGTTAATTTTCCATAATTTCATGATGTCGGAAATCTATGACTGAATGACTGAAATGAGTTTTGAAGTTTGGTCAAATAGGCTGCCGGTCTTTAGAGAAAAGGAGAAAACTTTAATTTTGCGCAATTACATTAAGAACCAATCAGGTTTTAGTAAAATATATAAAATAAAATAGAAAATAAATATTGGACCTAATTTTGACTGACGTTTACAATACCCCCTCTCGTGAAAAGATTTTGAAACGTTGACAAATTGTCAGAACCGTAGTGAAATTGATATTCTAAATTGAAGGAACTGTATTATCAAGTTTAAAAAAAAAGATTTTGTGAAACCATGATTCTCTCTTGTACTTGTTTGTATTGGCACATACTCCCCCTCGACAAGTTTGGCAGGCGGAAGTCTTCATCTGATAGCGTATCAAAGCCTATTAATGTTTGAATATACTTATGCTCGAATCTTTAATTGGTTCCTTTGGTTTCCTATTGCTTCCTTTATAGTTCGGAAATTAATGACTTTGGTGATTCATAAATATGGGACGCTGAGCCCTTTTGTAAACTTGGTCAAACTGATTGATGCGAAATGATATTTTGCAACTTTGCTATCACAATGCTTTGCTTACAAAGGATCTAGTGCACCCTCCATTATGATCTCCCCATGGACAATAATAAATTCATCTGATTTTTCAAAATAAATATACTGCTTTTATTATTACATTTATATGTACACTAGTATCTTGTTGACCTATATTCAGCACTGTATTGATGAAAGGGCCACTTATTAGGGCCAATATTCAATCATATAGTGTACAGGGGTAGAGATGCCAAACCAGGAAGTATTTTTGTGTCTGTCAAAATCCATTTGCATCCTACACATCCCTACATCCAAATATGTTATTGATTAATGAAACATAACAGTATAATCTTTGGATTTACAAAGTTGTATGGGATTTCATAAGTGTAAACGTTGCTTTTGAAGCATTTTTCTATAGCCATTTTGTAGGGGGAAAAATGATGAAAATGTATAATCTTTTAATTTGAAGTATGACCTGAATCAATTTCAAACTTTATATTTGCACATCTGATGTGATATACCATTTGTGTCATATTGTGAAATTATTATAGCCTCCATTGGAATCTGATGGTATCCACATGTTAAGTCAATAGAACAAATCCAATGTCAAGTCAATACACCCTTGTTGAACTTAATGACCTCAACATAAGCCCATGTGGGTCCAAACGCTTAAATATTTTCCAAAGTATTATGTGACATTGTATTCTTTATGTTACACCTAAAAATGATTAATTTTGTTCATGGGGAATTCATTATGGAAAGTGCACTAGACCCTTTCTGAAGTCACTTTATTTTGTTTTGTGGAACGACCTCTATCTGAGAAGCAATAAAATAATCAGACACAATGCAGCGGATGGATCGGATTTGAATACTAATTATGTCAAATACTTAGATAGATAAATAAGGTTTGCAAATCGATTTTGTTTACAAATATTGGACTTCGCAATTGACATAATTAGGTATGCTATAACTGGTAAATTTTATCACACCATTGGTGGGATATATTCGATGACGGCGTTATCGTGATCGTCCCGCTTTTTTTGTCACCTGGATTTTAGGAAAACCGCTCATCGGATTTTCTCCAAATTCGCACATATGATAGAGGATATCAAGTTCTACAGCTGATGAACTTTTGGGTCTCCATTTTGTTTTCTGGCGGCCATTTTGAAAGTTTTTCGAAAAATCTTGTCACCGCCATTTCAGGAAAACCGCTCACCAGATTTTTTCAAATTCGCACACATGATAGAGGATATCAAGTTCTAGATCCACTTAACTTTTGGGCGGCCTTCTTGCTTTTTGGCGGCCATTTTGACGGGTTTTCGGTAAACCTTGTCATCGTCATTTCATGAAAACTGCTCATCGTATTTTATCTACATTCGCATTCATAATATAGGATATCAAGTTCTACAGCCGATTAACTTTTGGGCAGCCATCTTGTTTCCTGGCGGCCATTTTGAAGGTTTTTCGATGGTGTGATCTCGTTTACGCCATGTGCCTTGTTTGTATCTTATTTCAGTGCGCATACATATGCATGATATCTCACAAAAATTCTTATGGAATTCATGGCTGGCTTCTCAAAAAATTAGAAAATCCCAATAAATAAACCAGCAACTACTTTTTATAATTTCAAAGGTCACCTGTGTTCTGACAATATGCCAAGTTTCAAAATCGTCTCAGGAGGAATATATAAATTTTAAACACTTCTATAAATATCTCATATTAACTTGAATGATCTTGATCCACCAAGGTAATACATATGACTGAAGGAATACACTGGTTAAACAGTATGAAGGTGAAGTGTCCTTTACTAAATTCTTTTGTTCTTTTATTTCTAGTGACCTTGTTACTATTCACTGTTATAATATGCTGTACAATAGAACATAGTTACACACAGCTAGGTAAGAACTTCAGTAGTTTAATATAGAATTATTAACTGAATTTTCATAGTAGAATTTTGACCCCCTCCCCCCCCCCCCGATGACTGTGTTAGAGATATACGTTGTTTTTGAAAGACACACAATGTTAAACAAAACTAGCCATTTTTATGTCACCCCGAGAAGTGGTGACATGTTGTTATGGTCTCCAGTTTTTTGTGAATGGCGTTCGGCGTCTGTAACACGGCTTCTGTAGCAAATAACGACGTATATAACACATAACAGGTGGTGAAATTTTGCATGTTTAATGCCTTGTTAATATCTATTCCAGTCTGTATATGTCAATGTAATCATTGTATCTTTTGTCCCTGTAGAATCCTTATATTAACACATGTTATATCTGAACGATTTTGTCTAGTTATTGATGTTTCGAAGAACACGTCTAACGATCGACAACGTACAGTGACATAATATTTCTTCGTACACTTTAAACTGATTTGAAACAAAAACTATGATGTAGGTTTGATGTACGTTTTAAAAAATTAATTTGAGGAATACATAAAGGATTTCATGTTTAATTTCGTGTGTATTCTCTAGGAAGGACTTTACGCTTTCTGATTACGTTAAAAAATTCTCGAGCAGACATTTTTTCGTAGTAGATCTACCCACAAAATTTATCGGTTAGAAAATTTTAGTTTTTCACATTTCCTTTGATCATTTGTACACTGTTGCCTAAGAGTGACGATTATTTTTATGAAAATATGTTTCTCTAAACTACACAATTGAGGATGGGTGAAGATTTAATAAATATTATGTATTGGGTGTAATTTAAGAAAATCAAAAATGTACGTTGTCAACTCCACTGTACGGTGACACTGTAATTGAAATTCATGAGATCAGCATGAGATGTACTATTAAACAATTGAATAATTTTATTTCAAAATCCATCCAGGTTTTTAATGAGTAACAAGTGATGTTCAACGAGCATGTTCAAGTATCCCCAATACAAGGTTTGTTAAAGTCAAGCTAAATGTGATTTTTGACCCATTGTTGAGTGCTATTTTATTTTAAAGAAATTGTTGGTGCGGTGTTTAATATGTGACCAATGAGTGTTAGATTCCACTTCGTTAATCATTTGGCATTTGTACGTTTACGTTAAGTTCTGTTAAGAGATACTTTCAGTAAAGAGGAGTAGGTGTAAGTATAGCTCCCGTTGTTTTGTTAGTATACAAATAGTGACTGCCATTTAGGGAAAGTCATATTGGCATTTAAAGGTATTTTGCCTTTCAACTCCTATAATCTCAGCTATCAGGGAAGATAAAACATACTAATGACTGGTCACATGACCTAATTGGTGATTAGCACATTTCATCTTCCCTGATAGCAGGGATTTAGAAATTACTAGGGAATTAGTTCATCTATTTCACATCTTGTGACCATGAATAATGAGGACTTAGAATACATATGTGGTATATAATAATTAATTGTAAAACATGATTCCTTGGACATGTTGGACACCTGCTCATGATCATGATCATGATCAGACATTAGTATCAGAAAAATACGAAAAACGCAGTGAGAGGTGATTGCCACAGCAATAAAACCGAATTACTTTCTAGCCATAGCATTTTGGCACTTCAGATTTGGCACAAATTATCCTCATTCAATGTGTGGTGAGTTTGAGAAGTATCATTAAGATCACTCTCGGGACTTTACGGTCATGGTCAAAATACCTTCTTAAGTCTGCCTAAGCCAGGGCGTTTGACTGCGTTTTGAAAGAATTTCGACCATGACTGTAAAGTGCCTGGAGTGATTTTGATTTCACTCTACAGACTTACCACATTGAATGAAGATGATTTGCATTAAATTTGAATAGCCAAAACACTATGGTTAAGAAGTTTTTTGCGGGTGCAGTCACCCCTGACTGCGTTTTTCGTATTTTTCTTGTACAAATGTATTTTGAGCAGGTGTCCAAGCATCATGTTTTACAACTAACCAACTACAGGAGCTATACATACACAGTCACCCCTCTCTTTCCTGAAAGATGAATATAATTGAATTAGTATTTTCCAAGATAAACCGATTTTTTTAGTTGGGTTTTGGGCTGCAATCCTGTAATTGTTCAGTTTCAGTTTTAAATGCATCTGACCCCCCTTGCTCATGAGTGTTATGAAAAATACGTAATCTGCATAAAAGGTAACTGTGAATTGAGATGTGTAAGTTCAATGGGACAACGTACATCGAGTTGACAACGTACACTTTTGATTTTTAAAATTGTAGCCAAGACGTATATAAATACCTGTTAAATCTTCAACCGACCTAAATTGTGAAATTTAGGGAAACATATTCTCAAAAATAAAAAAATCGACACTCTTAGGCGACAGGGGAAAAATGATCAAAGGAAATGTGAAAAATTTCCAACCGATGAATTTTGTGAGTAGATTTACTACGAAAAAATCAAGCACTGCTCGAGAATCTTTTAACGTAATCAGAAGGCTAACGTCTTTCCAAGAGAATACATGTCAAGCATGAAATCCTTTCTGTATTCCTCAAATTAATTTTTTAAAACCTACATCAAACCTACATCATAGTTCATATTTCAAATCAGTTAATTGTTACATGTACGTCGTACATCTAAAGTGTACAGCGGTACATTTTGTCACTGTAAGATGTCGATGGGTATGCGTGAAGAAGGCACATTGTATAATCATCAATGGATCTCAGTACCCCATATGAAAGATTGTCTAAATATATAGAATACATTCAAAGTGATTTGAAGGACAGCTATTATTTTCAATTGCAATTAGCAAGTGCCAAAGGCAAAGGTAAAGGTCCAGGCTGGGGTAAGTATCAATACTTAAACTCAACCAAATCAATGTTTATTTACATAAAATTGTACAATAAACAATTGATTTGATATTTGTGTCACTTTTTTCTTGGTCGAATGCTGCATTCTTGCTCGAATTCCGTACAGTATACACCAATGGGGCAAAATCCCTCTTGCCCCATCATGCCCCATCGAATCCCAACTTACCCCATCGAATCCCATTGATTCCCATGGGGAATCCTTGATTATAATTTGCCCCATCGAATCCCATCATACCTCATCGAGCCCCACAGAGTTTCATCAAATCCCACCTTGCCCCATTGGTGTATGTTGGGCTTCACACAACACGTCATATGATCGAAAATCCCACGATGCCCCATGGAAAGGATGAACATGTTCATTCTCGATGGGGCAAGATGGGACTTCGTGGAGTTTTACCCCATCTTGCCCCAACAGCCCCATTGAATCCCACCGAGTTCCACGTGGGACCTCATGGGACAAAAATAACTCATATATACGCAAATCAATTGACCTGATTATAGCCAAAATTAATCAATAAATAACTGTATTGGTTCTCATTTGTGACAACGGTATCAGACTTTACCGTTGTCAGGGTATTCCGGCGTGTTAGAAGTAAAGTGTGTAGCTACCTATAAGAAGAGTACTACTAGTATATTTCAGTAAAGGAGGAGGGAAAGTATCGTAACAAATTTTGGACAGTCATATGTCGGATTTTGGCTATTTTCTGAGGATTTATACAGGTTCATATGTTAGCCTAATGCATTATTTCCAGGAAAAGCACTCAAAGAGATGATAAAATAATTTTGATTTTGTAACAGGGGAGATGTCATACAACCCACCCAACCACATGTTTTTCTGAAATGTTTTCCTGATTTTAAACCCCTTCCACTCCTGCTTTTTCAATTTTTTGCATCAAAGGGTTTAATTGTGTGTCAAAACGGAACATATTGATGCAACAAAAATTGGAAAAGCAGGGGTGGAAGATGTTGAAAATCTGGACAACATTTCAGAAAAAAACATGTCAGTGGGTTGTTTGCTTCTTCCCTGTCTCAAAGTCGAAATTATTTTATCATCTCCATGAGTGCTTTTCCTGGAGATAATGCATTGGCCTAACATATGAACCCGTTTTAATCCTGAGAAAGTACCCAAAATCCAACATATGACTGTACGAAATCTGTTGCGATACTTTCCTTCCTCCTTTGCATATTGGATTTTTGTTCGGAGTTTTGCTCATAAAGGACCCCTGTTCAACTCCACTATTAAACTTAATAAAACTCAAAGGGATTTTGCTTTTGTAAAAACAAAAGACCGTCTTCTCTACTGTTTCAAAGAATTATATTCTACAACAGGAAATAAAACCTTAGAATTTTTTGGTTGAGACTAGTAGCCTACTAAAATTATCACAGAAGAGTAAAGCACAGATTACCGTGTTCACGTGACAGTCCAGACATCGCATTACGCGGTCTGCATGCATAGGTGGCTCATTTTGACTTGCTTAAAAGTGTAAATAAGATATTTCCAAATGATTGCAGTCACATTTGGATGACCTGTACTGGTCGACATAATAAGGGAGTTGCTATATAGCTGTATAAAGCTGAATATATAGATGTCACCACTTTTTTATTTGTTTTGTTTAGGCCAGACTGTCATAGGCGTCATTGTTGAAAACGTGCAATAATCACTTTATTTCATGATTTATCAAAAAGTGTCGGTTAAATCTGAATTTTGTAATAACAAACATAACTTTGTAAATCATAGTTATTATTGGGCAAAACGTTTCACTGAATTCAAATATGTTATTAAAAAGAATGAACAGCAAGTTATTAGAGGTTTAATGTGCAAATCTTTTAAATTCACTCGAAAAAACGTAAAATAGAGTTATTTCAAAGTTACATGTACATAATATTTGTAATTTTTAATAATCGTATATAAAAACTTCTCTCTATTGTTATGTGACACAATACAGTTTAAACATAATGGTAAAGCTGCAATTTTTTGAAATACTTATTAATGGAATTGATTTTCATATATACTGTTTTGATTCAAATCACCATAGGATATTAGAGATTTCCCAACTCACTTATAGCATGTTTATTATTCCCGTATAACTTTTAACTTAACTTTTAACTCGTTGTCTATACGTAATAATGGAGAACGATGTTTTCCTCAACGTAACCGTGAACACAAAACCCATGTCAATACAGAAATATGTATAGCGCACACAGAACAAGCGCTAATGAGTCTACTTCAGATACCCGATCAGCTTCAGTTTTGTGTTTAGAACGTTGGTGTCTAAGTGGAATCATTGTATGCATGTCTATTGAATATTTTGATTGCAATTTTGAATTCGATGCATAGTATAATGCTTTCTGAAGAAAATAATGGTATATCAAACATGTTTTGTTCTAAATTCTTACAAAACGTGCTTGTTTGAAATATGCATTTTTATATGCATTGCTTAAAGTCTCCATTATCACACATATGGACATGCTGTGCAATAAATGATGACGTAATAAAATGCTTCATCAATTATACTACGTTATACGGGATTCACACATAGCTAGGCACGGTGTGTCTGATTCCAGCCAATCCGAACAGAGTATTCACATACACTGGTGATCTGCTCGATTACGCTGGTTACCGAAACGGTTCGTTTCTTTGCATAAACCCTGCGGGGTCATGTAAAGATTTGAAACAACATCTACATGGAATGGTTCAGCACACAATGCACTGAGTCCAAGGCTCAAATCCTTAAATAACAAACATGCTATAAGTGAGTTGCTCATGAGCAAATACAGCATTGATCGTAAATGTATCCCATGGATTTAATGCAAATACCATAGGCCAAGGGTAAAGAAATAGAAAGCCGTATATAGAAGAGACAGGTGAACAACTCTGACTTAGACCACTTGTTAAGATGGAGATTTCAACAATATTTAGTGTATTATTTTCAAAAAGCCATGGGGAGTTGATAGAAAATTGATAGTTTGTAGCTCTTACCTAAGATTGAAACTCAGTCAGATGATATAGAGTGAATAATGCTGTCTAAAAGAGAGAATTTCTGAAAACCTGCAATTGCTTGGCAAGTTCATTAGTAAACAAGTGATCTGATTGGTCACTGCTGACCTCCACCAGTGACAATCAGTTTCAGCTTGCCAGGCAATTGCAGATATCCATAGTTGTTGTTTTATATGCAGTATTATATGCAGTTTTTAGATAAAGATTTGAAAAAAACAATGATATAAGTTTGAAAAACACTTTGAAAAAGATTTTGGAGAGATTCGGGAATACAATTTGATACCAGTAAGGAGAACTAGTGCCAAGACTAAAAAAATTTGAAAAATTTTCAATCTTACTTGTGGACCTGTCTCTTCTTATCCAGCTTACTATTACTTTTCCCTTGGCCTATGGCAAATACAGTATATGTGTTATATAACCGATGACAGTGTAAGGCATATTCGTTTTTATAATATCACATTTATCCAGAAACAAGGCCAGATGCAATTATGATGTGATGATTGCAAACATCCACTTTTTAAAATTTATTTCACTTGGAAAGGTGATATGTCTGCATGTGCATCAATCGATGTTATTTTGACAAGCGTCTTCTGCATCCAACGGGGAACATTTTTGCCTTTGTTAATGATCTATTGTACAATACAGTGTCCCAAAAGCAACAGGTTTGGTGCTTGCATTTTGTTTAATTAATTATGTTCAAATTTCCCGTAATATACTTTTATGTATTGAAATTAGCACTTGCAAAATTTGAAATTCACAGAGCTAGGCAACCTATGCCCAATCGAACACAGCTTTTCTTTTAAACACTGTTCCAGAGCTGGATGACTCTAACTGCAGTTAGCTTCATTCAAAATGGTTGCCGAAATTCTTTCGTTTTCGATAAACTCCCGGTTTCAGCTAAACTAAGTTGAATCTGGATTCCAAATGTTTCGCCATGCAAATTTATAAAGCTACGATGGTAAATAACCAAAATAACACTTATAATATTCTAATTAACGAATTTTTATATATTTCGTGGCCTCATTAAACACTCATTCCGTTTAGAATGGTATCAAATCATTGATTCAAATGTTTTTATGCAATCACTTTGTATAACACCTGTTCAGTTTGAGTAGATAATTCAGATTTTTGATTTTTGAAACGAATTTGATAAATTTTCACTTACTGTACCTTTGAATCAAGTGGAGTAAAGACAGCCATGGTTCTTATTTATTTAAGATGTAAAACATCATTCAAATATCTAGAAGTTGAATTTATTTAGGTAAATATTGCATTTTGTACTAATTATTTTGCAAACATGAGTGCCTGGAACAACAACTACATCGGTTACTAACAGTTCTGTGTTTTATCTATTTCACATATTGAGAAATTCAATATATAAATCAATATTTATCAAATTACCCCCTACATTTTCAGACATATTCGGGTCTTTGCTCGGCGGTAGGCTGTATACAGGCGGGTAGACTTCCCCCTCGTGAATTGTCCCTTCTGTCAATACATGGAAGTGCATTTTGTGAAAATTTGAACGTAATCAGTACAGCCTTGCCTTTCACAGTATTACTTTTGGGACATCCTGTATTATTGTACTGCATGATGCAATGACAATAAACTGCATGCACCATTCATGTTGTTGCCATCCAATGAAACGTTTTATATTATTTATTTAATCGCATAATTATCATTATGTTTAAAAGCCCATTGGCTGACGATTTCACTTATTGTCATGTAAGAGGTTTAACCATTAAAACAGGATCTACACTCCCTTCCATAAGTTTGGCATTCTAGCTCCCCATTGCACTACGTGTTAAAGGCTCTTTACGTTTGAATTTGTATTTACTTAGCCTGCAATGAAAATACTTATAATATTGATGGAAACGTAACTTGACTTTATTTCCAATACCTCCAAAATTTTCCAATTTTTTTCCTCAATTACGATAGGTCGAAAGGATAGGTATCGATATGGTGAACTGAATTCAACAATGTTTTTCTCTTAAACCAATTATTGAAAACATTTGTAAAAAACATGGTCCTTTATGTAATGTTGACTGATTGGCAACAATTTAATGCAAACGATATTTATATTTTTTTATAACTGTTTTTGTTAACATTTTTTGTTTTTTAGTGCAATTGTTCCTTTCTACCAATATACAACATATTTTTAGACCTCTCAATGTTATAGTTATACAAAGGGAATTTTGGTTGATTTAACAAAAAGTATGCAAAAACTTAAAACAAAACCCCCAAAATAGATAAAAATTAAGATAACCCTTTTATTTCATTAACACGATACTTTTTTAAAATCAACCAAACTTTCCTTTGTACAATTACAATATTGACAACATTGAGAGACCTAAACACGTTGTGTTTATGTCGTTTCGTTCCAATGAAATTCGGATAGATGTTTCATTTCATTCCGAACATATACCAAGAACAAAAGAAGTGTCCGATATGCTTTCTAAAACAGTATAGAGAAAAGTATATATTTCAAATTATATTGTTACCATTCAAAAGATGACCACAAAATTTATATATTTCTGTGTAAATTCATCACTCTGGTAACATATTAATAATAACTTAAGTTCATTTACTTTAGAGTAAAATGTTTTATTTTCGACGTTTCGCTAATCATCCAACTAGCTTTATCAAGATTACATTCAAAATGGAAGTACACAGTTATATTATTTATGGCGTAATAATTGAACAATACAATACCCAGGTAACAATAAACAATACAATAATAAACAATGACAATAAACTATGACAATAAACTATGACAACAAACTATGACAATAAACTACACATAGACACATACACAACTCAACACAACACAACATACACAATTTGAAATCATCAAAATCATCAATTTTCGACCTATTGCCATTGAGGAAAAAATTGAGAAAATTTGGAGGTATTGCAAATAAAGTCAAGTTACGTTTCCATCAATATTATAAGTATTTTCATTGCAGGCTAAGTAAATACAAATTCAAACGTAAAGAGGCTTTAACACGTAGTTCAATGGGGGAGCTAAGGTTGCCAAACTTATGAAGGGGAGTGTATCTCATTTTTTTGTATTTGGACTTAAGGCAATGGCTAAATCTACCATTCTTCGGCAGTTATACTTATATACAGAGTGGTCCAAAAAGTGAACCCCTGCAACAGGCTATATTTTCCTTAATGCATCAATTGGTTCATATTATCACATCTTGTAGAGAAGGGTCTAACATTTTTGTTGATACCATAATTTATTCGCGGTCTTGAATTTTGAAGAAATTACAAGACTTACACAAACATGCCTAAAATTAGATATTGTGCAAAACTTTACCAATGAGATGCACAGAAATTGTTGAAACACATTGGATGATCTTACAAAAGGTTTAAGTAGGAGATATAGGGTTAAGCTATACCATGTGAAAAATTGGACACTATTTGAGCAGAAAACACATTTTACATTTTCATTGACCATTTTGAAGCAGTTTTAACCATTCAACAGTTAAGGGGCATATTACCAACACAAACGGTTAGTGGAGTCAAAGTTATCCCCTGTGACCAAAACTCTGAGAAGCCCTTCTTATAAATATCTTAGAAAAATCAAAAGGAAATCTAATATTCAGTGTTTTGAGCCATATTTCATTAGAATTGGTCCATAATTAATGAAGATATTGACATTTTAAGACCGTTAAGGGGTATTTTGCGATTTCACTGGAAGATGTTTTCGTCTTTGGAAACTGAGAACATTTCTTTGGATCACAATAACTTTGCAACTGACCGAGGCAGGATGCTAATTTTTACATCATAATGTGCAGAATTCAAATCCAAACAAAGTCAGAAAACATTAGGTTTTTCAGACTGCCGCTAAAACAATTTCCACGGGAAGTTTGTGGAAGGGTTGAAGAATCGCAAATGATGAAGTTCACATTTTATCGATTTTCAGTGATGTTTTTTCAGGGCTTATAATTCCTGCAAATTTCAAGACTACAAAAAATGTATGGTACCAACTAGAATTTTAGACCTTCCTCTACAACATGTGAAAATATGAAAGGATTCCTGCATATAATAAGGGAAATATAGCCCGTTGCAGGGGTTCACTTCTTTGGACCACCCTGTATATCAGAGGTCAGTTCTGATCCAATACGAAGTTGTTGAAATTGACGTAAGCTTAGATGTATACGCTCCGAAAGATCGTTTTCCTAAATTTTTACAACGTATACACGAATGCTTCGAATAGATATCTGGGATGTATAGTCTAAATACCGATTAAAACATTTATTGTTATTTTAAATACTCATATATGCGTTTTCACTATTTCCGTTTATACCTCAAATGAATATCAAAAATAGTTCTTGAAAAAAATCTGTAAAATTGAACTGGACTATACTTTGATTGCTCTTTTTCATTTTCCATGTTTTTGCCTAAAATTGCTAGTAGAAAAGTGGATATTATTCGTTAAATTTATCCAGAGTAGTACATATTCATAGATTTAATTCATTTTTCTTAAGGATGAACTCTTGTCAAATCATAACTCCAATGCTGAAGCTGAAGCAGTGGTAGACAAAATGGACACTGTTTGTGTTCAAGTAAAATGTGAAATACTCGTATATACAGGATGGAGCATAAGAATGGGTCACTGCATATTTCTTAAAATATCTATTATCACATAGATTACCATATGTAACATATCGAAATGTATAATGTTGAATCTTGCAGATACAGATACCTTTTTTAGATCACTCCGTGAAGATAATGAACATTAATCAGAAAAATCAAACCGTACTTTTAGGATCCCGCTAATACTTATATTATAGTATTACTAGTATGTAGCAACAGAATGTAATGTGTCCATCTTAACTTTTAAAAGGATTTGAGCCGGGTGACTTCTTCTTTAACAAGCATGATCAGGGATTTAGAGACAAGTATCCAGGAAGTGGGACTATCAAACATGTCACCAACTGTCTCTATATGACTGTAAACTGGTTTGATTGGGGTATGAAAGAAAGCATCCTTCAAAACTTGGAGAACTGCAAGGTATTGCAAATAGCGAACTTTCTCTGTTCACACAAATACACATATAACTGTTGAAGAATGCAGTGTATACAATGACAAAAAGCTCACGTTTTTCACTTCTCTAGGTTGCTGTTCAATCTGCAAAGGCATTCTTCACGACCGACCAAAATGTAGTGGCTAATAAAATCTTGAACAAACTGGAAAAACTTTTGTTTCGTGACCTGAATTTCACGATCACTACTGACGTGCGTGTAGTGAAAGAACTGGAGGAGAAGAAAAGTGATTTTCTTAATATTCATGAAGAACTCAGTAATACTAACACAGGTACATGTGTGAATATGCTTAATTTTATCAATGTTCATCGTTTAGTTTTGAAGAAATTCAATTGAACAACCATTTGAATCATTTTGAGATATCAAATGTCTATTGCTCATTGTGAACTTATGTAATCTTACAATTACGTTAATCATCTCAAAGAATGATTATTGTTATATAAAGAGATCATACAATAAAATAAGTACAATACGGGAATATGCGAAACAACAATGGAAAACAATACAATGCAATAAAAATAAAACAATAGTGGTAGAAACATAATATTCGTTACAAAAGTATTTTGTTATTGTAGATTTGGAAACTTTTACGTTCCTGAACGCATGTCTGTCAATTCTTAACAAAAAGTTAAAGAACAACGATTACAATTCTTACCAACAATACTTTGGAACGTGTAAGGTCGGTGCACACATTCAAGTTTATTTTCTTAAACATATTTTATATTCTAGTAGGAAGGAAGGGATCCCGTGGTTATAAAATCTATTCTTATATTTCTACTTCTATGGTGGTATATTTAGATTCGATATATGTAAAACATATTTGAGGTTGATTTTAACATGTTCCAGATTTCTAGAATATTAAAAATTGAGGCAGTTTAAAGTTTCAAAATAGAAAACCATGAGGCACGGGATGGATAATTCTAGAGTAGACACCATATCTGTACCCCCTGGTATGAATGTGGACAATTTTTTGAAGCAATGATGAAATGTGTGGACAACGCCCAGCAAAATTGTATCGTATTGATACCCCCCTCTATCACACCAAACTAGTTCTTACCCGTTCTTGCCAGTCCTACGAAAAACGTCGTAAACGGGCTCAATCTGGCTGTGGTCGGGAAATATGTCTAAAATAATTAGCTACTTCGTTCATAAACAGTCTTGACAGCCTGTATCCTTTCTAATACATTGTTAATCACATTTGATTATAATTCCGGTGAAATGTTTTAGATTTCTCTTTGGATGTTGCCCTTAAAGTCAGAATCAGATCTATAGGGGTTGACAAAATTACAAGCAACGTGCATAATTGACCTACCAATCTATTCCTTACAATATCAAATACAATATCTCCCAAAAGATTCACAATATGTTATAAATTGGTGAAGTTATTAATGATTCAAAGTGCAAAAATGGGTGAAAAATGTTTAAATAACCCAGATGCGAGTAGAATTAATCTTGATTTACGTCATTAAAAATTCAAAATTCAGCCAAAGTAATATCATATTTGAAATCTACATGTAAAATTACATCTAGAAATGTGGTTTTAAAAAGTGTTTATCAACTTTGAAAAATTAATTTTCTTTGAAAATGTGACTTCTAGCTCGGGGAGATTCCCCATAGACCCCATGCTTTAAAATCACAAAAAATGGAATATCTTTTCTTTTAGTGGACAGATAATATTTTGCTTTACTGGACATATTTTCATTAGTATAAGTATCAGACACATAAGGTTATATGAAAATTGAGCCACTTAAATTGATAATATTCAAGTTTAAGGGAACTTTCTTATATACCTGCCATGTTAATTGACCCGAATCAGCCAGCTGGTGGTGAAACTGGTAACTACTTACTCGCATTTGGGTAATTCTTCCAAATAATAAGAATGGTAACCATTCTTATAGAAAAATAATACATTATTGTAAAAATCTTTTGTTTTCCTTGAATAAAGTATGCACTTTTGTGATTTTTATAAAATAGCCATGACAAGGAATGACATGACACTCAAGCCACGTATTCCTTTCATTATAACGAATTTTATGTAACATGACAATATGTTTTTATTCCACTATTTAATATTCGCTCTACCATGAGTATTTGGTATCAAATTAAACGTCTCTTATTCCTGCAAAATATCATTTAGTTTTTATCTATAAAAGCTGAACGCATTATCAATCGTCGAACATTCCAAACGATCATTTTTTGCCTTGTAACCGATCACCCTTATGTTGATTGACAGTAACTTTTTTATATTCTCAAACGTATTTTGTTATAATAATTGACTATTTCATCACAAAGACTGCATCGTATCTATTGTACGTTAGCTGGAATTAATTTATTTGCTAATTTACTATTGGAAAATCGACATTAAGTATGTGTAGCCCTCGAAGGCACCATCATCGACACCATGCTTGAAATCAACAGTGTCGAGAAGCCTCTGCACTATTCATGATAATTCCTCGTTTACTTCTTTGAAATATAAATTGCCTTATTAACGGATGTAAAACATTTTCACAATACATTTGAATATAACATATTTAGCTTGTTACGTATTTTTCGACGTAAAGTACTATTTTTCAAAATCATCATCGACTCTACAAGTACGTTGTCTTTGCACTCTGCTTTCAATCAAAATCAGGTTTCAATGTTAAGTAATGGTGTTGACGGTTTGTTTCAATATATATTGATAATATAAAAATACGCTTTATTGATGTTATTCTTTGACCACGTAAAGATTGAGATATTTACGACCATCAACGACTCCACCACATACGACTCCAAAATACTATCCACATATTAAGTAGGTCACATGTATAATCGAACGCTATATATTTGTTGAATGAACCTACATTCATTAAATGACTATTTTGTTGTATGTGTAGCATTTTACAGTGATACCGAGCTAAGGATTTAGAGCATATTGTTCATTGTAATTACAACGTATAGTGATAAGTAAAATTGAATCTATTAAGCAGATCATGTTATTTACTTATGATGCATATTCTGTTTGTCTTGAAATGCTAAGGTAATGTGACACAAGAATTGGGATGATTGAGCAGTTCATAGTCTTATAAAATCACTGACAAATATAGATGCACATTCCCCGATATTTCTTAATTCATAAACGTTTCGTTCAGTGTACCACTAGACGAAATGTATTTCTTGCCATTATTGTAAAACAATAGATATTTCGTTGGGATAATCAGTTTTGTGACATTTTATTAATGTGCATAACTTCCCACACTCTCATTAGTATATCTGTCTTACTTATCAGACCTTTCTGATGATATAAGAATATGGCACTCACCAACGCCGAGAAGTGCCGTCGTTCCCTACAGACTACAGTGCAGGGAGAGAAAGAAAAAGAAAGATATCAAAGGCTACTTAGAGCAAGAACGTATACACCGAGAAATAACCTGTCTGCTGAAGCTCTTCAACAGATCAGAGAAAAGAACAACAAAGCATCCCGGGAATACAGGGCACGCATACGCCAAGTGTAGGCCTATATAGAAACAATCAAAACACGCCAGACTGAAGGGAACGCTCAGAGTCTAAAAGTGAAACTGCCAGGACACAAATGAAAATCCAAGAAATCCCAGAACGCATTATTAAAACATTGAAGATAAGGCGACTGGACTTAAACCAGTAAGCTTACCAAGTACCTTTCGAATCAATGCTGTGAGAGGGGTTTCCGATAATATTGTTGAAACGCGAGAATTATCGTGCTATTGTGGCGCATGCAGGACAGATACGTCATCCTCGCCCTGTTGTTGGCAAAGGAACAACCTTATTACCGTTAGGAAGAACCAGCAGGCAGCTAAGGTGGTCACCGAGCAACCATTTTTAAAACCAAAACGGACCACACGACGAGCACACCCGACACCCAGTACGTCAAGTAAAGCATCGACGCCCTATGACGTTTCCACTCTTTCAACCACATTGAAGCGTCAGCCTTTAGTACCCCCGAAATACAAGTTCAAAGTCTTCAGAAAGAAGAAGAAAAGGAGAGGCCCGATAAAAAGAACAGACACTGTAGATATTTGCAAGGCATGCAGTGTCAACTATTCTTCGTATTTACAATCGCATTTCGAATGGATCAAGTGCTCTAAATGCCACGACTGGTTTCATGATTCCGGGAAATGTTCTCGTGTAAAGGGGATACTCATTGGAGAAATATTTACATGCTTTAATTGCAATAAAATACGACCTTAAATGTGTAAATTATGTAAACGTTATTGTTTAAAAACCTAAGCGACCATCAGCGACACTGTTAAATAACACTTAATATCACAAGGAGGAGTGATTGACCTATTCGTAACAATGTTGTATTTTGATGTAAGAAGACACGTGTGTCTAATTTGTACATTCATTTTGTCGATTGACGAATTGACTTGGCATATTATTTAGCTTAGAAAACAAAATCTTGAAATTAATTACCTTTAGGGAAACTCAAAACAATGTATTTCAATAATTATCTTAATAAAATTCTCTTGTTAAGATAAACAACAACTATTGCAATTTATTTTTGTTCATGTGATTAAATAATTCAAACTTAATACATTAGTTCATCTTTAAACTCAAAATTAATTTTGAAACATGAATCAATGTAAGCCTATGTATGCACCATCATCGACACCAGCAATTTAAGAGTATATTTACGTTTTGATGCACAATCAAGTAATTGTTTAAAGGGTAATACAAATATTTTGAGAAACGCTTCTTAAACCCCTTGGCTAATGGTATATGCATTTATATCTCAATCTAAAATTACATTTTTTCAACTTTTATATTGATCAAATGTGAAAGAGATTCGTGGCTTGACTGATGAGCCAAAAATATTCTAAAATTGAAACAATTTTGTGTTTAGCCTGCTCGCTATCTCTGATTCTCTCTTTAAGTTGTTCTAGGTATTTTTGCTTGGAATGAGCATTAAAACACTCCTCCAAAAAGCCACAGAGAAAGATGTTTTAGGATGACGATGTCAGAACAAACGCAGATAATCAGGTCAATTATTGGCAAATGATTCAGGGGTTACCTTCCAGAGTTAGGCAGGCTAGCCTGCAGACCAAATGATATCCAAATGAAAACACAGTGGTCTCAAATTGATACACATACCAAAAGCTACACTAGAATCCCAACCAATGCAGTTTCTTGAACCTCTGACCTCTCTGTATTAGGGGACTATAAGACATTGTGAGGGCCTCCCTATTCACCATATTTCACGGCTCATACTTTCTTCTCTGAGGCTATTTGAAGGACCATTTTTATGCTAAACCCAAGCTAAGAGACCTAGAACAACTTAAGACCAGCATCCGAACAGAAATCAAATCATTCCACCAGAAATATCAAATGTGATGAACAATGTAGTAGTAAGGATGCAGACTGTCATCGAAATATGAGGTTACATTGAATATGTGGTGTAAAAGGTAACGGGCTAAAGTAACAAAAAGGCAAAACTGAATTATCCACAAGACCATGCAAAAAATGTCTGAAAATATTGATTGGTTTGTCTATGGTGTTGATATACTTTTGGGTACACTTTTTGAGACACCCTATATTTGGGAATATAAGCGATGGGTTATTACAGGTACCGTCATCGACGTTCCTAGGAGTTCTTTACTTGGCTAAAACACTGGGAAAGAAGGAGAATTCCAAAAATACCGAAAATTATTTCAAATTTTTTGTAAAGTCGCATTTAACTTTCAATTTCATAATAATTACAATATAAGTTGACCATGCTAAGGGTTTCATTGAAGCTATAGGTGTTCATTGACACACCATCCAAACAGGTATCGGTATTACAAAGTGTTCAAATATGAAATATAAACATACCTTCCCTCCAAGACCTCCGTTTTGCTGGGCTTTGTCCACACATTTCATCATAGTTTCAAAAAGTGTCCACACTCATATCAGGGGGTGAGACTATTAAAGCGTTTTGATGTTTAAATTTGAGATAACTAATTGTAGAATTAAACTGACAAAATATGTATCGATTAATATTCGATCTTATCGTATGATCTGTAAAACGAAGCCTTCTGATTGGTCATTTCTTGTGCTGTACCAATCTGTATTGCTACTGAGGTTGTCCCCGTTGATCATCTCCGTCGCAATACAGAAAATATTGGTACAGAGGGGACAATTTCAGTAGAAATACAGAGCGGAATGATGCTTTATAAATGATATAATCTAGGACCTCCTCGAGGACTCGGAGAGCAGCGCTGATGAGGAGCTAAAAAGTATGTTACAATACTTGACGGAAATACTCTTGCAAATAAATAATCTCATAACACTGGCCAGTCAAAGCGTTGAAGAAGGTGACAGGATTATTGAGAATCTTGAGATAAAATGGGAAGAGTTGATATCAGCAGTTGAATTAGAAGGTGAATAGTTTAATATTTTCGTTTCAGGTTTGATTCCATGGTATGGAATTTCTAGGACTCTTAAAAAAGTTCGTGTCCAATTATCGCGTAAAAAGTAATAATTATCGTGTCGTCACTATATCACTGCATATTATTATATTATATGTAAATGTCTTGTAATTGATTTTGTGAAGGAGCCAAATAGTTTTGAAACACAATTAAATATTGAATCCATAGCGTTCAAAAAATATTAAATATTAAAAATATGTTGAAAATATTGAATTAGCTTTTTTTACTCGAATTTTACTCGAAACATCTATTCATTTTTGCATACATTTTGCCAATATTTAAAGTATTCTAATTCAATTAAAAATTAATTCACTTGCGATATTTGTTTATTTATGGTGAAGAAAATATATATTTAAAGGCTGCGAGGCAGATCTTGTAGAATGTGAACAGGATACATGTGAAAACAAAAAATGTCTTCAGCCAAGGGGTGCACGTTGTGTGTAAGTAGTTCAACACATACATGTATATTCTTAAAACCAAGAAAAGGTTTGATCACTTAGTTTGTGCAGTGACCAAACATGATGGATACTCATATCAGCAAAAATTATATTGTCTCCCTCTTTGGAGTGGGGAATATTTGAATCTATCATATGGGCCAGCGGGAGTCTAACCTTCTTTTAAAATGTAGTTTATTGAACTGGAGTATGATGAATTCGAAATTTTGAATTTCAGGATGACAAGATGCGGACAATGTAAAAGCAGATGGTTGCGAAAACTAAAGGAAGTCGAATGTGAGGAAGTTGTAGAAGTAGAAGAAGAGGATGGTTCTGGGGATGTATAGTTAAAACAATATGTAGAGATTGCCGATAGATCTAGACTTACCTCGCTCATTCCTGTAGAAAGAAAAGTACATTCGCGCAGCAAAAATACATGTATTTGAAAGTATATACATTTTAATGTAAAATAATCCTGCATTTTAATGGAAATAAAATTACAAATCGTGTACCAGACAATGAACTGGTGCATCGTTCAGGTAGATGGACTAAATTTAATTGTTTATATCATATTGTTGTGTTTTTCTTTTATTAAATATACTAAACACGACTACAATCTTTGTTATACTGTGCAGGTCAAAAACGTTCACATTTCTATTTCTTATAGCTTTCTATATAAGCCATGAATTTTAATAATATTTGCACTTAGGGCAGCGCACACCAAAATGTACCAAAATAAATTGTGATATGTTGTTATGAGAATCCCCCGATTAAGGTATGAATGCAAATATACAATGTAAATGTACAATGGCAATTTTATCATTAGATATACACTTACAGATCGACAACTTAATAAGTCTCACAGAGAGACTCGAAATTCCCTGCAACCTGATTGGTCCATGTGACTTAAATATACGTTTCCATTGGGATACGGTCCAGAAGGCCGTTTCTCGAAACTCTCGTTATTAACGAATCGTTAATTCAATTGTTGATCAATATTTTTCCCTTTCTCGAAAGTTAATGATTCCCGATGACGTCATGATTTTAACGATTTGTTCGTTATCCATAACCGATTTAACGAGATGGATAACAGGATTTTGTCCATACAAGGAAATCTGGTCAGATATTTGATTTGTGCCGAGGGACTGAATCAATATCGATTTACCTATTTAAAGGGACGCTGTCTGTAAGTTAGGTCTCATCCAAAGAACCTAATGGGTCAATCTATTTTTGATCCATCGTTCATGCCTGCCCCTGAAGATGGTATATTGCTGAGAGACTGAATCAATATCCATTTAGCCATTTAAAGGGACACTGCTTGTAAGGTAGTTCTCACCAAAAGACACAAAAGGGTCATCTATTTTGATGCCTCCCCGTTTCTCGAAATGTTTCGTTATTAACGAATCGTTAATAACGAATTGTGAAATTAACAACTTGATTAACGAAATGTGCAGATTCCGGCCGTATCTCGAACCATCTCGTTATCGGGCTCGTTCAGCTTGTGCGGAATCGTCACATTTGGCACCAAATCAGTTTAACGTTTTGACGTGGATTATTTTTTATATTTCCTTAATGATCTGCTTTGTTTTATTCTGGTTTTACTCAACGACCAGAGCTATTATTTTCGCGCAAAATGTGAAATTACATCTAGTTTCGTTCATTTGTGTACACATAAAATTAAATATGCTCATGAAACCGGCAAAATGATTTTAGGAGCAATAATAATAGCGTGTAGGCTTGGCCTCTCTGACGCTACAAGACACAGATGTAAAATAAAACAGTGTCCCCAGAAAAGTGTCCTTATTGCATATTGTACACTTTGCCGTTCAGAAACAAACAAACTATTATTTTCGATCCGATGAACTGTTTAATGTCCATGCCATTGTGAGTCACATTATTTCCAAATGATCAACTGCTCGGGTGGTGTGAAACAAACACCCGGTCCATTTACAAACCCTCAATTTCATCCTTATTTTGGAAAGATTTCCAACAAATAATCTCGCTGAACGTGCCAAATAATGCAGTAATGCAGGGGTATTTGTATTATAATATATTATATAAAAGGCGGTATTATCTTCTTTAATCAGCATATAAAATGTGTTTAATGACCTACGATTTGTTAACACCCCAGTCACATTTCTTACGGCGACCTTGCGGTCTATCATTTCTGCGGCCAGTAGCTTTTCTACGCTCGCCGCAGAATTTCTGCGCTCTCATACTTTTGCAGTCACATTTCCCACGGCAGCCGCACGGTGAATTTTAAATTTCTGTTGATAAATAATACTTTTTTCATTTTATTTACATCAGGACAATTTATAAATGTTATTCATAGTGCTAGGATGTAATATCAAATGAAAAGTGATCGTGAAACAATTGATAAATAATGATTCAATCTTGTTGAGCCAGTTGATTTCTACGGGGACCTCAGGAATGAACAAATATTATAACTCTGAGTTATAATTTCTACGCCTTCCCTGCGGCCTGTAAAAATCTGCATTCGCCGTACGGAGGCCGCAAGGCGAGCGTAGTTTTTCTACGCTCGTCGCAGAAATTCACCGATTTAATTGATCTGCGGTCGACTTGCGGCCGCCGTGCGACAAATGTGACTGGGGTGTTACACCCCAGTCACATTTCCTCAGCGACCTTGCGGTCTATCATTTCTGCGGCCAGTAACATTTCTACGCTCGCCGTGGAATTTCTGCGCTCTCATACTTTTGCAGTCACATTTCCCACGGCAGCCGCACGGTGAATTAAAAATTTCTGTTGATAAATAATACTTTTTTCATTTCATTTACATCGGGACAATTTATAAATGTTATTCATAGTGCTAGGATGTAATATCAAATGAAAAGTGATCGTGAAACATTGACAAATAATGATTCAATCTTGTTGAGCCAGTTGATTTCTACGGGGACCTCAGAAATGAACAAATATTATAACTCCGAGTTATAATTTCTACGGCGACCCTGCGGCCTGTAAAAAACTGGATACGCCGTACGGAGGCCGCAAGGCGAGCGTAGTTTTCCTACGCTCGCCGCAGAAATACACTGATTTAATTGATCTGCGGTCGACGCACGGCCTCCGTACGACAAATGTGACTGGGGTGTTAGATACCACATCGTTATATTACGAGATCCCCTAACCCTCTCGTTAAATCAGCCATGAATAACAAAAAATCGTTAAAAATCATGATGTCATCGCGAATCGTTAACTTTCGAGAAACGGAAAAATCGTTAACAACAATTGAATTAAAAATTCGTTATTAACGAAACTTTCGAGAAACGGCCTCCTGAAACAATGGGAAATGCGTACATGTACAATTCATGAAACCTCCACTACGTAATTGACAATTATCTGATAAGATCAATTCAAAGAAATAATATGTTCAAAATTCAATGAAATAATATGCTGATAACTCACCGAAAACAACCAAGTGCCCGTGAACTAAGTAAATATACAAGATGGCGACAAATACATAATTATCCAACTAATTGATTGAACAATTTACATAAATGAGAATAGAGGTTTGCTTATCTATGCAAGTGAAGATATCCCTCAACCTAAACTTAGACATGATCTAATGAATGATAATAATGATGCTATTTGGCTTGACTTAAGAGTTAATCATAGAGTGATTACATATGGGCTTTATCACCGCTCACCATCATTAACACGTCTTGAAAGTGATTCTTTTTTTGACCGCTTTAATACAAGCTGTACTTTGGCTAAATCAAAATCATCATGTTTTTTAGTAGTTAATGGTGATTTCAATGCTCGAAATAAGCATTGGTGGAGTGAAGATGTAAATAAATATGAAGGTGAGTCTCTTCTAGAATTATGTCAAAATCTAGGTCTTATACAGTTGATTAATGAACCAACACGTGTAACTTTGACAAGCAGGTCATGCATTGATCTACTTCAGTGGCGTAGCTACGTGTACGCCAAGTACGCCCAGGCGTACTCTCAAATTTTAAGGAAAAATAGAATTTACCAGATTAATTGTGATGAAAAATAAATATTTTACCAAGAGATAGAAATCGATAGGAGACTATTCAACAGACCCCCCAGCCTCTTTACCCCGATGTCTACACGTGTTTGGTCCAGCTGCTAACATTGCCAGTATCCACTTGCGTGGCTGAACGAAGCTTTAGCAGTTTGAAACGCATTAAGTCATACTTGCGTTCCACAATGAACGAGGAAAGACCTTCTTCCTTGGCCATGATACATATCCATAGGGAACAGGATATAAACATTGATACTGTTATTGACATGTTTGCAAATGCAAAAAACAGAAAGATAGAATTTATTCTATAGATTGTTAATCATCTTATGAACTAGATAAAAACAAACACAGAAAAATAATAATATTTCATGGAGAATGATCACAAAAGCTTAAAACAATGAGCCTCATACATACAGTTTTAGGTAGCCTAAAGGGACGCTGTCTGTAAGTTAGGTCTCATCCAAAGAACCTAATGGGTCAATCTATTTTTGATCCATCGTTCATGCCTGCCCCTGAAGATGGTATATTGCTGAGAGACTGAATCAATATCCATTTAGCCATTTAAAGGGACACTGCTTGTAAGGTAGTTCTCACCAAAAGACACAAAAGGGTCATCTATTTTGATGCCTCCCCGTTTCTCGAAATGTTTCGTTATTAACGAATCGTTAATAACGAATTGTGAAATTAACAACTTGATTAACGAAATGTGCAGATTCCGGCCGTATCTCGAACCATCTCGTTATCGGGCTCGTTCAGCTTGTGCGGAATCGTCACATTTGGCACCAAATCAGTTTAACGTTTTGACGTGGATTATTTTTTATATTTCCTTAATGATCTGCTTTGTTTTATTCTGGTTTTACTCAACGACCAGAGCTATTATTTTCGCGCAAAATGTGAAATTACATCTAGTTTCGTTCATTTGTGTACACATAAAATTAAATATGCTCATGAAACCGGCAAAATGATTTTAGGAGCAATAATAATAGCGTGTAGGCTTGGCCTCTCTGACGCTACAAGACACAGATGTAAAATAAAACAGTGTCCCCAGAAAAGTGTCCTTATTGCATATTGTACACTTTGCCGTTCAGAAACAAACAAACTATTATTTTCGATCCGATGAACTGTTTAATGTCCATGCCATTGTGAGTCACATTATTTCCAAATGATCAACTGCTCGGGTGGTGTGAAACAAACACCCGGTCCATTTACAAACCCTCAATTTCATCCTTATTTTGGAAAGATTTCCAACAAATAATCTCGCTGAACGTGCCAAATAATGCAGTAATGCAGGGGTATTTGTATTATAATATATTATATAAAAGGCGGTATTATCTTCTTTAATCAGCATATAAAATGTGTTTAATGACCTAAGATTTGTTAACACCCCAGTCACATTTCCTACGGCGACCTTGCGGTCTATCATTTCTGCGGCCAGTAGCTTTTCTACGCTCGCCGCAGAATTTCTGCGCTCTCATACTTTTGCAGTCACATTTCCCACGGCAGCCGCACGGTGAATTTTAAATTTCTGTTGATAAATAATACTTTTTTCATTTTATTTACATCAGGACAATTTATAAATGTTATTCATAGTGCTAGGATCTAATATCAAATGAAAAGTGATCGTGAAACATTGATAAATAATGATTCAATCTTGTTGA